TGCTACTCTTCCTTCTAACAATAACCAGAAAATCCTAAGCATGTGTAAATAGCAATTTCATGTACAAAAAGCCACTTTACCCTTGGTCTATGAACATCAATATTTCTAACGCCTGCCCCAAACCATCTGATGGTACTCTATTTGCTATGGGATAAATTCAAAATTTTGAGCATGTCCCACAAGGGCTTTCATAATCTAGCCCCAAAACTTTTATGGTATCACATTTTGCTACTGCCTTTGCATCAGAATTCTCATCATTCTTTCATCTTGATATACCTTTCATTTCTTTGGGCCTTTGTACACCAGTTCTCCCTGCCTAGAGAGCTTTTCTCCCATTCTCCTCCAGGCAAACCCCATTGATTTTGTAAGACCCAGTTTAACTGGAAACCATCAGCAACACTTTCCCCGTTACTCCAAGCCAGAGATGGCCACTGCCTAATCTAAGACCCCAAAGAACCTTACACATACGTATTTCTTCGAACAGCATTTATCACATTATATTTTAATTCCTTGTTTACATAGTCCTTCCCAAAGACTGAGTGGCTCCTAAGGCAGTAAAGGCAGCAGAAGTGAAATGGGAGGTGGGTATCAAAATCAGCGATGGCCTGAGAACAGTGCACCCAGAAGCATATTCAGTTTTAAATTTGGTAAAGAACAAAAAGTACATATGGTTCTCAGTTTGTAATACCAAGTTCAGAAAGTTCAGCCCATCAAAATCATGGATGAACATGACATTTGAAAGGTTCTCACATGGGGAGCTAGGGCTAGATCTTCACTTCTATTTTAAGGGACCTTGAGGTAAATAAAGGCCAAAGACAAAGTGTTATGCATTGCTCATTCCTGGTATATACTAGGTACTAAAATACTTACTAATTGAATATAAATTTAAAACACTAAACTAAAATAATTTTAGATACCATCTTGATGAAACAAGTTATTTCTTCCCAAAATGTATAATAGGTTCTGAACAGTTTTATTTGGGTATAAAGATAGTTCCTCAGCTTTCTCAAGAGCTTAAATAAGATCCCTATACATAAAGGAGAAAATCGTAGAACACAAATATTTTTAAAGTTCCTTTATAAAGAGTAAAGAAATTTAATTATTGTATGACACATTTCCCATAAATTACCCCCCTAACAACACAGTTAAGACTTTGAACTCTTATGCTCCTTCTGTTCATCCAAAATCAGAAGTTGGCTACAAATAGCATATTTCATTATAGTTTTAGCCTTGATGGGGCATGTGTCATCTGAGCAAATTGAAAGCCATGAAAAAATTTTGGTTCTAGGTCACTTTGTTTTATGATGTTTGAAAGATGCCAGAGGTAAAAGCTATACCACATCAGACTCAGACAGTGCTACCTGAAAATGCTAAAATACTCTCTCACATTCCTGAGTCTATAATGAAGAACAACTAACTTACCCATAACTATTGTTCTCCTAGCTGGTGCTTTTAATCTAATATTAACTATTATCCAGCAACTAGTTAAATAATATTATGGTGAATCTCAAGAAAAAGTAAAATGCTTTAATAGAAGGAACTAGTCAACCACGGGAGGAAACAATGCATTTGACTTTACATACCATGGTATTTGTGTTAAGGAGACTTGTTTATACTCTAGTACAACCACATTTCTGCCAAGGTTAGTTGGTGACAAAAGTTCAAACCAACTTTTAAAAAATGTTTAAAAATAAAGACAGGGCTTATTTCTCTGGGATTCATTCTTTCATAAAACAAGTATTACTAAGTGCCTACTATGTGCAGATATTCTTCAATAAACTTTGGGCGTACTTGTGAACAAAACAAATGCAAATTCCCAGCCTTCGTGGAGCTTACATTCTAGTGGGGAGGAACAGACAATGTCCTTAACAATGAACCTAATAAGTTAGATTGTATAAAGGATGTCTAAGAACCTTTTGTTGTGAAATTAAGTTTAAATTTTGTAATACTGATGGCCTAGTCCTTTACAGACACAATACCTGTCACTCAACATTGGATCTCCACCGTGAGATTCAAAGGTACACGTCTTAAAACTAATATGAAATAAGTTTGGTAATATGAACCATACTCTTGCAAATAACTATTTCATATTTTCTCTTTCAACTGGTATCCCACGAGGCCCGTCCTCCCACTCAGAGCCTTTAGTGCCCTGTTCTTCCATTCAAATGGAATGCATTTCCCTGTCTCTGAAAGCCATGCACACAATATCTTAGTCAAGCACTACACTAAGTGCTGGAGATACAAAGTTGCTTAAGACACAATCTTTATCCCAAAGACTTAACTGTCCAATAGGAGAAAGACAAAGGATGATCAAGGCTTATGAGTGTGTAATTGAAGTATGCAAAGCATGCTGGGTGATTACCTCTGCCTGGAGAAGACTGCTCTGAGGAAGTGCTTATGCTGAGTCTGGAAGGATGGGTAAATGTGTGAAGGCAGAAAGGTCCAGTGGCTTGTATTAGCCAGGAAGCATATGAGCTTGAGAGAGCAGAGAAGAAGTGATCCTAAGAAGCTAAATCCTGGAACAGTGGAGGCCATGTCTGTACAGATGACATCTCTGGGAGCTATATCCCTTGTGAGAAGAAATGGAAAGCAAAAGTAGAGGTAGCTTATGAGCAGACTTGAGCAAGTGCACTGGGTTCTAGAGCACATTGAAATTGGTGACTGGACCTCAAGGCACAGGTTAACTAAAGGGAAAGCATCTGAAAAAAGCAAGGAGACCAAGCAGCAAAAGAGAACAATGCTAATAAGTAACCCAGACCCAAACTGCACCCGTGTCTCTTGGCAGACCTCTCCACTCGCCATCGGACATGTCACCAACCAGTCATCCAGGGTTAACAGTAGACACTTCCATTCATATGCTAGTCTCAACCCAGCAACGTTCCCAAACCAAGCACAGGGGAAGTGCCACTGTGTGTGCCCTTTATATATGCACAAGCTGGATAAGATGAAGTGAGCTTCCCCCCTCATGTTAAATACTCATGAAATGCATGTCCCAGAATTCTTATAGGACTCTTTATTTTTAACCACAGTCACTATCCTCTGGCACTAGAACATCAACAGTAAGAAGATACTATGCCATGGGATCGTTCTATGTATTATATGTAGTATGCAGCAGCATGATCATCCATCTCCCCAGCTAGTCTTGGGAACTCCTCAAGGGCAGAGACTAGTTAATAGTAGTTACTCAGTTAAGGGCTGACAAGCAAATGAATGAATTAACTCACCAGATTTTTTTCCATAGTTCCAAGCTAGTATAATAGATAGAAAACACACCATTTGCTGCTATTTTTTCATTCTAAATGACAACAACATGAAGGCTATTCAACTAGCTTCTCATAAACATCAAGTTCATGACCCTACATACAGACACACAAAGTCAAACGCTAGAATCAGAGGAGAGCAATTTTTAAATTTAAATTTTTAAATAAATAGTTCTTCACTCTAGAAATTTGCTGAATGAATGTGATAGTGCCAGTTCAAGGACCCCCACCCCCACCCTCAACACACACATTCCTGCTTTGAAAGGAAGAAGCATCATAACCCAAAATATTCTGGGGGAAAAACCTTTCTGCAAAACTTCAAGAACTTAGTTTAACCCTATCTCCTCCCAATGACTATATAAATATGCAGTGTCCTGGCCAAGGCTGACACGTAACATTAGGCAAAAATGGAAGAGAAAATTTTCTCTAAAAAAAAAGACCAACATTGTTGAATCAAAAAGTAAATCATCATTTACATCAGAGTCTAACACTCTGGGCAGTTAGTCCTTGGGTCTGGGCTACTGAGACATGCTTAAGAATGGCCGTACACATTTAATCTCACGAAGCATCCAGGCTGTACCTCTTTCCTAAGGTCTTTCCAGCAGTTGTCCTCTAGCGCCCATACAGATGCTATGCTTGGTGAAGAGAGTTAATTTGGCTGCTTAAAAAGAACAATAATATTTGTGTCGAGAAATGCAAAAGTAGCAGCCCAGACTGACAGTTATTGAGCAAAGGCACTTCAAAAGTCAGCCCCTCTTCCCCTATAGCGTGAGGGTGTGTGTGTATGGGGGGAGGGGGGGTCCTTTCTTGGTAGGAGAAGAAGAAAGTGCAGAGACTAATATGCCAAAGAACTACTCTTTCTGGAATTCATAGAGAGTCTGGCCTTTTATCCCCAGGCCCAAGCCCAAGACTGAGGACCCGGGTTTTGTCAGGGGCGCCTCCCTGCTGTCCTGCCCTGGGCTGCGCCACATGAGCAGAGAGAGACAGGAGGCAGGCCCTCTGACACCTACTTAACCGAGGCAGATGGAGAGGAGAGTGTGTGGGATGCCTTTACTTCCCCCTGAGGAGGCGCCCAGCAGGAGCCCACAGAGCCAGCAGCTCCAAAATCGGATTTCCACACATCCTCCCACCCCAGAACATGCCTTACCCCTCTGGCAGAGGAAACAGAGCACAAAGCAAGTGTGGCTCTGGTGTATGAAGTGGTTTTAGAAGCCCTAAGGAAGCCTTCTTACAGGATTCTGCACTTTTTTCAAACCTCTACAGAGGTAGCCAAGTTGAGAAACAGTTACTCACTCATTGACCCAAAGAGGGCAAGGGTGTTACTTTGAGGAGGACACAATCAGTGTCTGCAAGATGTCCTGAGCTACAGACACATACTTTATTAATAATCTTACATACACAAAATGTCCAAGGGAAAGCCTAACAGGCTAATTTCTGACAGCTCCAGATAACAGCAGGAGGAACTGAAGCCATGCTGACTCTCCAGCTTCCACATACTCCACAGAAGCAACGATCCCCTTCCCACCCAAGGGATGTGATACAAATAAATAAATACAATTATCTGCAGAACTTAAAGTGCAAGGACAACACTGTGAAGTCCTTCTCCCCAAGTGCAGTGACTTGTGGGAAACAGATAGGAAAATAAAAAGAACAGCTGGAAAAATTTAATTACAGAAGAGCAACACAAGAGCTGACACTGTTTCACAGAACTAGCCAATAGCCAAAGCCATTCTCCCTTACCTTAGGATACAGAAGCAGCTCTTCGCTCCTGAAGATAAGCGGCAGAACCCGAATCTCTGTTTGCTGTCAATGTCAGTGAGCACGAACGTGAAGTTCTGGCCAACTTGGCTAACTGTGAGGCTGCAGCAAAGACAGAACAAAGGGAAAAATGAATGTTCAGTAAGTTTCTTGATAAAGTATCTAATCACGACAAGTCATTGAACCTGTAACATTTCCTTTCTGAGTGGAACTCTTTATAAATGAACTTAAAATTTACACACTTCAGGGGAACAGACTGTGAGTTAGTAAAAAAAAAAAAAAAAAAAAAAAAAATAGCAAGTAGCCTGTTCTAGTGACCACCTCATCACCAAAGTAGCTACCAAACCTTCCACTTACGGAGTTCAGGCAGGTAACCCTGTTAATCATCCCATCAAATCCTGAAAGGTGCATCTTGTTAACCTCACGCAATAGATGAGGAAATAGCCTAGAGCAGCATTGCCTAAGGTGCCAGCTGGTCAACTGCAAAAACTGGATTTTAAACCCAGGCCTATCTGCCGCCAAAGCCTGCTCCGCCAGCTTGCTGTTAATGATGCTCACCTGATCATTTCTCTAGTTCAGAAAATAATACTGACTGCAACAGCAGAACTGAAGTGTACACTAAGTGCCAGCCACAAAGTTAGACACTTGGCATATACCATCTCGTTTAGTCTCACAACAACCCTGGAATTTAGATGATGTTCCCATTTTACAGAAATGGAAAGTAAAGAACTGACTAGGTAACTGAATTAAGTTCACAGAGCTACTAAAGGGTGAATTCAAAAGAGGGCAAGGTTGCTGTCACTTTCCTAAATTCCTGTATCTGTCCATAATTTCTGAAATGATGAGAAACGTGTTTTATATTTTACAGTACATAAATACCAAATGTCTTAACAATGCAAGGTGCTTCCTAAGAAATGGAAACAAAGTTTTAAAGACATTAAAGAAAAAAGCTAAAAATTCCTGTATCAGCACAAAACTCAGCAAACCACACATAAAAGTAACATAAAATGTTTCAAAAAATTAAAAAGCACATTACTAATCAGATTAATCTAGAAACTCTTTTTTAAAAGTTACAAAATGTTTTAAAATCCACTTTTTAAAATCAGTTTACCAGTTAGCTTCAGTTCTTTTTTAAAAACTTAAATATTCCAAATTCTAATAAACAAATTTATGCTAACATAATATTTTAGAATTTGACATTGAATTATTCAAAGGAACTCATTAACTCATATTGTATTTTACATATATCGTATTTTACAAAATATACTCAAATTGATAAAATATTCAAATCGATGCTCTCACCTATAATTTACTTTATAACTTGTCAGTAGAAATGAAGAGTCATGGTTCACCAGGCCTTTTCCACATGCAGACTTATTGAGTCTTTGAATTTGATATGAATTACGTTTTCAAATATGGATAGCCTTCCTTTCTAAAACTCCCTTATACAAACCACATAAGAAAATTGAAATTAAAGAGACTTTCAAGGTATTCCGGTGCAAAAGGTCAATGGACCCAACCTGGTCATATTTAAGGAAATAATTCCATTCCTTGGAGAGTGGTTAGAGAGTATAAGAAAACAATTCAGAAAGAAAAGAAAGTGTTCCACTCTCCTTCTTTAACTAGGAAGGTGAACGAAAACAAGGTGGCAATTTAAAAGCAACGCAGTAATAAAACAGGTGTAAGTAATGCTATCCCTCCACCTTCCACAAGCTAGGAGAAGGAACACATTTCTATAAAAGTTATAGAGCTGTCAAGGGGACACCAAACGCTACCTTCTTATGGCTGTTATGTTTTATCTATAAAGCTTGGATACTGTGTTACTATGGTGATTTAAGACTATGTTTTAAAGGGGGATTATATGATTAATTTTAACAAGGTTGAGAACTGAAGACGTGTGAGAAACAGGATTCTAGCTCACATAATGAAAGTGATTGGGGCAAAAGTGGGCCTCACTGGGAGAGGAGAAAAATCTGTATTATTAAAATATTTAAAGCAACAGGTCAGGAGGATTCTAAGTTACAAATAAGGTCATGCTTTTGCGAAATACTATTATGTGATCATACAAAATATGAGTGTTTATTATTTTAACTCAGGCTTTGATTTCACTTCTAGAATGTTTAAAATGAAGCATCCTAGACGGAAAGAGTATTGATAGGACTGGATGACAAGAAAACACCCAGGATCTCTAGGAAAAGGACACAGAACAAACACAACTTAGCTTGTGAACTGAGTGTCATTAATTTCCCTATTATCTTTTCACTACCATTAAAAATGCTGAAAATGCTTTTAGCTACATCATAGGCTCAAAGAAAGATTCATTACTCATTTAGTTGGTTCAAATCCCAACTCAATCACTTGCTAACTGGGCCTTAATTTAGCAACTTACTTAACCTCTAAGCACCTCAGTTTCTTCACCTGGAATAATAACAAGAAACCCAACCCAAAGGATGTTTGGGAATAAGTGAGATGAGCATTTAGTATAAAGGCTGGTCCATAGTAGGAACAATTAATAACAGAAATGCAAGCCATTAAGTTACTATCTGAATGAAAACTAAAATTCATTAAAATCATACATTTGCTTAGAATATTCCTAATTAAGCTTCGCAATACTTGTGAGTGGAGAAAGGAAGGCTGCCTTCTTTCTCTCTTGCCTGTTGCATCTTTTCAGCAAGGAGTAGTCCTCCTGGGTGACCAAGTGAGCTGCTCACACTTGCATTAAAGTGAACAAGGTTCTGGGGCCAGCCCGGTGGCTTAGTGGTTAAGTGCGTGCGCTCTGCTACTGGCGGTCCAGGTTCGGATCCCGGGCGCGCACCGACACACTGCTTCTCCGGCCATGCTGAGGCCGCGTCCCACATACAGCAACTAGAAGGATGTGCAACTATGACATACAACTATCTACTGGGGCTTTGGGGGGAAAAAAAGGAGGAGGATTGCTAACATCTGTTAGCTCAGAGCCGGTCTTCCTCAGCAAAAAAGAGGAAGATTAGCACGGATGTTAGCTCAGGACTGATCTTCCTCACCAAAAAAAAAAACTATCTACTGGGGCTTTGGGGGAAAAAATAAATCAGGGTTATACTCCTTACAAAAAAAAATCACCAAAAAAAAAAAAAAAAAAAGTGAACAAGGTTCTTTTTGGAGTGCCACAGCTTAGAAAGGGGCACTTATTATTCTCAGTTGATTCACCTTTTTAATTCCTAGTAGGGTGAAGTACAAGTCATTAAAAGCCCCAAATCATTAAACTCTAAAATATTTTTTCCTTGCACAATTTCTAATAAACTAAAAGTCAGGCAAGGGCAGTCAAATGGGTTAACTTGAAGGTTCTGAATCTCCAAGGAATCTGTCATTCTCTCTTTACTTGCCGAGGTAGTCTATGAGAGTGTTCACTATTTCTCCATAAAAATGACTTTGGGAAAAGGGTCTGCTTCCTTAAAGGCTGTAGTTTTTGTGTTTACCTGCAGGATCAGACGCTATAATTTTTTTAACAGGAATCACAGATTTTTCATGATGATTAAAGCTGGGAGGAACTGTAGAAACCATCTCATTCAATTTTCTTGTTTTATAGATGGGAAAACTGAAGCTCAGAGTTGTTTTTTGGTTATTTTGTTTTGTTTTTTCAAAGTAACCTGGACTAAAACAAAACCAATTCTGGTTTAAAGTCCTTTCCATTCTGCCACGCTGCACTAAACACAATGAAAACCCGCCTCGTGAAGCTTTCAACTCAGTTCAAGGAGCTCAGGTATGTGAGGAATTCAGATAGTTGTCTTATTAAACAGACTAACTATACTTCCCACTAAGCAAGAGAAACCAAATTTGTGTATTTCCAGAAATAAGCCCAGAGACCAGGGCCAACACCACCCTTAGCTGTGCTTCCCATGCCTAGGTGAATATGGAAAACAAGGAAAAAAAGCAATGACTCTTCAAACCACAGACTTTAACCTTCATGCTGCCTTTTAAATGCTGTAAGCCATTCAAGGCTCCTTCAACAGCATTTTGCTTAATCTTGAAGTTGTTTACAGGTTCAGTGTTTAAATGGCATGAAATACGTGGGATGGAAAGTTTGATTCCAATCTTCCAGTGAGAAATGGGATTTCCATATCAGCCTCACTTTTAAGTTTAGTTGTCCATCTTACAAACTGAGCAACTACTACACTGGGTGCTGTAACAAGCGCTGGATATACAACATCCATCCTGCTATGGACCTTCCTGTCTAGTTGGAGAGGAATAATAAACAAGTGTACCACAAAGCATACAGCTTGTAATAGCATTATATGAAACCAAAGAAGGAACAAAGAAGAAAATGGAAGAGAAAGAAAGGCCCTACTGAGATAACGTGATCAGAGACAGCTTCTCAAAGATGATGACAATAGTGACCTAAAGGAGGTGACAAAGCAGCTACTTCAGAAGCAGGGGACTGGGTATTTCAGGCAGAGAAAAGAGCTGCGCAAAGATTCTCGGGCTGGAAAGAGCTAGGCATGTTCAAGGAACTAAAAGGACACCAGCACAGCTAATGCATAGGAGGTAAGGGGAAAGTGGCATGATATGAAGTTGCTAGATAAAGCAAGCGCCAGATCATGCAGAGAGCCTCACAGGTCATGGTAAAGAATTGAGATTGTTTTTGTAAAGGCAATGCAAAGCCAGTGAATGGTTTCAATCAAGAGTATAACAGTCTAGTCTCAGTTTTTAAATTTTGGTCTATTGTGTGGAGAACAGTTTGGAAGAAGGCAGAAGTAGAAGCAGAGACAATTATCAGGGGGCTGGTGCAGTAGTTCAGGTGAGAATGGATGGTAGCTTAACTCATGCAGGGAGAAGAGAGATGGGTAGGGGTGGAAAGTTCCAAGTTAGAGCTAGCAGGTACATATGACAGGCCTCCAGATGGGCTGGGAGTTAGGGAGTAAAAAGGCAGCAGCATATTACCATTTAATGATGACTAACAAGTTTGGGGGGGAGATCCAAGAGTTCCATTTGGGATACGTTAAGTCTGAGAGACCTATAAAACATCTAAATAGAAATGTCAAGTACCTAGTTGAACGTACGACTTAGGAAATCTGAGAAAAGTTTGGATTCGAGCTATAAATTTGGAAGTCATCTACACACAGATA